ACTGTAACAAAGGCTATTGGTTTTATAGCATTCGGACAGAGAACATCGCTGTCAAATATTTAGTCATTAGATCAAGTTGTTACTCTATGTAATCAAAGAGTTCGTAGTGCGGTCGATCACCATGTTGAATTTGGATCGTTGCTCTAATACCAAGTTATCAAGACCCAAGACCCGGGTCAATGGTTTTGATTTAAAAAAAGTATGTATTCGAGTTTGAGAGAAAAAGAAAGAGAAAGAGAAGGAGAAAAAGAGGATAAATATAAAGATTGACTATCTGTTCGAGAAAGATAGAATAAGAATATCAAGAGGAAGAGAGAACAAATAAGAGAGAAAAGATAGATATTGAGAGAGAGAGAGATAGATGGATATTTAAGAAAAATAATGATAATATATTTAAAATATTTTATTTATTAATTATTACACATATAAAGATTCGTGCTTTTTATAGAAAGAAAGGATGCATCAATAAATAAATAGATAGTGTATCTTTCATGAAAGTCCAAAAAATTGTAGAGAAAATTCCTAAATTCATTGAAATTCATTGAATGAAGATGAGAGAGGAAATGGTTCATCAACTAAGAGTTTAAGAGAATTAAATACTCATTGAGTTTGCATATATTTCTATAATTCTTTTCGTGCACTATTTGCACATCTTGTACTTTTTAATATATTTTTTTCTATTTTCTCTCGGATCTTTACCACTATCCAACAAAAATCAAATCTAAATTATTTTGTAAAATTTAATTACAAATATAAATTTTGTTTAATCATGGGGTTATAAAAATTAACTTGCAAGTGTTTTAAGATTGCATTTGCTTAATTTTCCATAATTCATAATTAATTATTAACTCTATCATTCGTGTTAGTGTTGGTATACGTAATTACAAGATGATTGAGTTATTTTATCCTTACTTTGGATGTCAAGGTTTAAATTTGTAGTTAAATTCTCATCCTTCAATAATTCAAAAGAAGATAATTTGTAGTATTTCATATGAGTATAGAAGTAGAGTCTGACTACAATTTACTTATTTAAGTATATTAAAACAATATACAATAGATTTTATCATAAAATAATCTTTTAACAAACTTCATTAGAATAACATACTCAATAATTTAATATAAATCCATGAGTTAATATTCAGACAAACTTTTAAGCATCAGAATAAGACAGAGAAATTATAAATCTCTCCAAACATAGCCTGAGTTCTACTTGAAATCTTTGTGGGGGTTATTTTATGATTTTGTAATTAAATTTTATCATAAAATAAATTTTGAAATTATAAAATAAATTATTTATTTGAAAAAAGGTTTCAAATGAATTAAATGATAATTATATATATATATATATATATATATAAACCTTATATGGAAAATAGAAGGTGGTGTGGCAACAATATATGCCGCAGATTCGTGAATAGTCTAAGCTAATTAATTAATGTTAATGAATTCATCTCATATAAAACAAAGTAACTAATGCTATGAGTGCAAGAAAATTCAATATTTTGTAAAAATTTTGGTAGGTCTGAACTTAATTTTCAATTTTAATCTAATGAATTTATGCACACGTGAGAAAGACTACTTACTACAAGTTAGTTTTTATTAAAAAAAAAATCCAACAGTTCTTTTTTTACAAGTAAATAAATATTTTGTAATTAATAAAATGTATATAATTTTTATCTAAAAAATTCATTTAAAGTAAAAATAAAATCAAGCAGTAACGAAGAGTAAGTTAAAAACTTACGCGATTGAAGATCATAAAACCAAGGTCTAGATCAACGCCATGGAAACGAACAGTCTTGGCATGGCCGCCTACGTTATCTTCTTTCTCGTACAACACAACCTCAACTCCCTGTCCTGCGAGAACATAAGCTGATACCAGCCCGCTTATCCCGCCGCCAATCACCGCCACCTTCATCTTCTTCTTTATGTTTCTGCATTTTCAAACCCAACTGGTAAATTCATACGTACATACGTATAGCTACACTTACCTGCGTTTACAGGTTCAGATATTTCCGTATATTATAAGAGATTCTGATTCAGAACAGGAAATGAGAGAGACAGAAAGAGAAGAATTAGGAAAATTATTACCAATAGTTATGGAGAAGATTGGGAATGAATTAAGATCTGTCTGAGTTAATTTGGGGATGTAGTAGAGAACTGAAGAAAAAGCAAATGAAGACAAAGGACATACTGATAATTAGAAGATAAGACCAAGTCCCATTCACGACCCACAAGCTCCTCCCCCACTGGATAGCATATTTATATTACTACCACTGCATATATATATATATATATATATATATATATAGGTAATACATACATCTCCCATACCCACTGTATGTATATAAGTCATATATAAAGTTGGTATCTACTACCAAGATCAACCAGGATAAATACAAATACCGTCAATAATAATATTAACAAATGCCTGAGGTTTTGGTATTCTTTTCATTCTTATGTACTCCACAAATTACCCTCTACGATTTACTGTTGATGATATTTGTAAAGAATTATTTCTCACTCTTCAACAAAAATAGAATTGTCAGTGTCTTCTACTTAAACTCACTCCACGATTGATGGTTAATTATTGATTCCATCATTAAAATTATTATTTTGAAATAAGCTTTCAAATGATAATTATATATAATTTTTTTTTTACAGGCTAAAGAATATAATTTTATTATGATGATTATAATATTTTAAAAAAATTTAATTATAATAATTTTTAAAAATAATAAATTTGTATAACTTAACAATACTAAAATATATATTATGTAAACTATATTTTCAATTCTCAAAACGTAGCATAAATGTAGAATTAGGGTCATTCGGTACAAAAAATTTCTTTTTCAATCTTCAACAAAAATAATATTATTTACTTAAATTATAATTCTCTATATTATAAATATTATTTAAATTTATCAACGAGAATAATATCAAAATTTTGACATAAATTAGAGATATTATATGGTTACGGAGCTATCAATTTATTATCATCTCGAACTACCAAGATTAGATTTAGAAATGGGTACGAGACAAATAATGTGTCTATTCTCAAACATGCTCTGTTAGTAAAAATATGTACTTGTGTGTATGTTCATGTACTCGAAGATCTTTTAGTTTTACAACTATCTTACTTATTCATTTTTTATTTTAATTTTTAAAGAGTTCGGTAGAAAAACAATATCATGGCGACAGTGCCTTTCCAATAATTCATCTAAACATACTAACTAACTTGTCTCATATTATAAAATATTTAAATCATAATTAAAATTTAATTGAATGATCTTAAATGTTATTAAAAACTAATACAAAATTTAAATATAAAATAATATTATAAAATACAAAAGTTACACATTTACCAATTGATTTTTTAATTTCAGCAGAACTAAAAATTAAAATTATAAATATAGTAGAGGATAAATCATTTAATTTATAAATCACTGTATACTTATTTCAAATTTATAATTTTTTAATTTACATACGTTTCGTAATTTATTTTATATATTTCATTCAAATATGCGCATCTCTAGTAAAATTTAAATATAATTTATTTCATAATTTTAGTTATTTTATTAAGTTTTCAACTATAAAATTAAAATATCATATTAATCTCGTAACAATAAATATTAAAAACACTGAAAGTTTGAAGTTAGTCAAAGATAAAAAATTATATAAGCTTAAAAAGGGGGGGAAAAAATGGAAAGAGGCTGGAATTTTGAGGCTGCCAAAGAAAAAGAAAGAAGGTCAGGGAATATTGCGTCAAGGTTAATTACCATGAGATTCTTCTTTGAATTTACGAACTCTCCTGATTCTCTCTACCAAATAGCAACAAATCATTGTGGGTGTAGTAGCTGCGACAAATTAATCACTCTAAAGGAAGATCTTTGTAAGGATTTCCAAACGTGTTCTTGTTACCAGGCCGGGAGAAAACAACCTACATCGAAGAACATATTTTAGCGGGTTCTGCAATTCAATTCAAACTATAAAATATATGAAGATGTGTTAATACTCCGTAGATGGTACCTGGTAATTTCCAAGTGTATAAGACTTGAAACCAGCTGCACAGTAGTCGAAGTAGTATTCCCACGTCCTAATGAATTTCTCATTGAATCCTAATGCATATATCTCGCTGCAAATTTAGACCCAAATCTACCTTTAACAGCTTTCTTATCATACTTATATTGATGACAAAGAAAGAGTATTTGTTCTTTCTTCTTACCTCTGCTTCTCCAAAAAGTTCTTTCTCCAATATCTCAATGTTTGATAGTAATGAATTCCTATATTTTCCACATGCTCCACACTGTATTTTTTTTAAACAAGTTGGTCAAGTTTGAAGGAAAAGCTATGTATATATGCGTGTTAATATGTTTATATAAAAAGAGAGCCATTTATATAATAATTATACCATAGTCTTGATGCTGTCGACATGGCGGACGTTATCCTGCTCAGAGAAGGTAGACACCCACCAGGAAAAATATACTCCTTGATAAAATCTGAACTTAGCCTGTACTCGTTGTATCTTTCCTCCGGTATTGATATGAACTAATTTTATTGCCAAAAAATATTATGATAAACAACAAACATACATTAAAATTCGTAAACAAACCAACAAAAAAGGATATGATAACATTTTTAATAGTTCTTCCCATTTTACAAATACCTGTAAAACAAGAAGCCCATCCTCCGCCAGCACAGATTCACAGCAACCAAAAAATTCTTCCATGTATTCATGGCCAACTGCTTCTATCATCTCACTGCACATAGTCACTTGACATGGTGATGTCTCATTTTACAGCAAGTTGAGTTTAGATTAAAAAACTATCGGATTGGGTTTAAACAGTTATATTTTAATCATGTGCGAGTGGGATAATGATGTTTATGTTAGGACTGCACCAGCTCGAACAGAAGAAGAGTGATGGTTGCAGTGAGCTTAAATTGTTCTTGTTGTTAGAAGTTAATTTTGTTATGTTCAAGAGTGCTTGGTTGATTTTTTCCTTTGTTTAGTTGTTTTCTTCTTCCTTTTACATTTTCAGGCTCATTATCACTCCCATTCACGCTTAGATTCATGAGCCATGATATGTTGGTATCAGATGAAGAATCTGACTTAGAGAGCATCATTGGCCCCATGTCAAGTTGGTAAAGAAGGGTAAGGAAGTGATGATTGATCTCTTCCACATACTGACTGTAGATGAGACCACTAATGATACAACATAAATAGTAGATTATATTGAAATTCTACTAGTTAAACCATCAATTATTTTATATAATAAAATGAAAAATCCAGTAACTTGAGTTCGAAATATTGTTGGACTAATGGTACCTAAGCCATATCTAGGGCCATATTCGTCCTTGATAGTTTTAAATAAACGTGATATGAGCAGTATTAGTTGAAAATCTGAGAAGTATGTAAACAATATTCTTGAGGATAATTCTGTCCCTAAATGGTGCAGAAGGTACGTTTTGGGATCTGACAGACCATTTTGATTGCTGTACACGCAAACCAGAAAACAGGAATGATAAATGAAATCTTGAAGAGAATTATTTTGAGAGTGATGCTTTAAAACAGACTTAGCACATCTGTTTTAGATAAATTTGGATTTTGAAAAGCTTGGAATCATGAAAAAAACTATTTTAAGCTGACATATGTCATCTTGATTTAAAGGTTTAGTAAGTTAAAGACATAATCGTCTGAACAGTTTTAGCTCAGTGGCTCATGGGTCTCCTGTAGGTCTTTTGTTTTCGAATTTGGAATTAAATGTTCATAGAAATCTTTAACAGCAAGAAAATTATGAAGATCCAAAATTAGAATTTGCTATTTACAAGTCCATAAATATCGATTTGTGTATGTTAAGAATGGTTGAATATGTATTTTTATTGAATATTACAATCGCATATATATAGATTTTCTATAATAAAAAAGAAAATAAATCATCAATTATACAAGGTGTATTTTACCCTAATACTCTTTAACTTAATTACATATAATACACTCTCTTTTAACACTCCCTTCTCAAACTGGGGAATATACACTGCCCATCCCCGCTCAGCAATATATTCTAGAACTCTAGATTATTTAGACATTTGGTCAACATATCTGCAAGTTGTGAACTAGTCTACATATATGGGGCACATATTAAACCATTATCTATATTTTCTTTAATGATGTACCTATCAACCTCAATATGTTTAGTTATGTCATGTTACATCATATTATGGGCAATGCTTATAACAAATTTATTGTCACAAGCACATAGGTTGTTCCACTTAATTTTCGAATCTTTTAAGATTCTTTTTTGTCATAGTAATTCACATATTCCTTGTATTATTACTTGGAATTTTAGTTCTGCATTCAACCCACAACTGTGTTTTGCTTCTTACTCCAAGTAATCAAGTTACCTCTAAGGAAGGTACAGTAAACCATGATAGATCTTTTGCCCACCACTGACTCTGTGTAGTCTATATATGTATAAATTTATAGAAACAACCTGTCATTCTTTCTAAATATGATCCATTTCCCATGTGACCTTTTAGGTAATACAACACTTTGTAAATTGCCTGCAAGTGTACTTCTTTATGTCCGTGTATGAACCGACATATTACACTTATTGTATAAGTAACGTCTGATCTCGTATGTAATAAGTATATTAGTCTCTCAATTAGTTTATGATACATCTCTTTATCTAATGATATATCATTATTTGGCAGTTCCAGTTTATGATTGGGATCGATAGGAATAATACCTAATTTACATGTTAGCTTGTTCATATATCTTAACAGAAGTGTTATAGGAGCAGTACTTGTTCCTTGAGCCCTCTAATCAACAGGGTATTAGAGTTCCATTTTTTTTGGATATGGTGTTATAATTGTCTTGTGTTTTCATGCTTTGAGGTCCTTTTTTTTTCTCTCGTAAGTTACTAAAGAAAGTTTTTCAGAGACTATGATTTGATTAGCAAGCTTTTGATTAAACTACTAAGTAGGTATAACTTTAATCTGACTCGACAAAACTAATAATGCTAGGTGTTAGCCTTTCTATCTCAGTTGTCCTGGAAGAAGTGAGGCTAGTGACATATATACTTGGGGCAGTGGATAACTAGAGATGTAGTGAAATTTCTGGCAAATTTTCAAGCAAGAAATAAATTTCATCTCTTCATCTTTCTGTTTTTTCCCCCTCTATGTTTTCTATCTTTCAATCTTTACTCATTCTCAATTATCAGCTAGATGCAGGTTTATGAATCAAGAACCTTATATTCTACAAAGTCTTCAATTACTAGTAGTGATTGACTTAAAATTTTTAACGTAAACTCCATTTGTCAAACTCATGTTTCACATGCTGAGAAAAAGTTGACGAAAGAACTCACCATGATATTATTCTATCATATTTATAGGAACCTGGAAGTTGTCGATAATCACAGAGTTGAAATCTGATGCGATCCTGGCGTCAAATTTGATTAGGAGTTTAAAAAAGGAATAAGTTGGATTAATAAATATCATTTGTTAAATAGATACCTCAAGTCCAGCTTCCTTCACTTTCTTTTCTGCATATCTCAATTGCTCCTCTGATAAAGTAATGCCAGTGTATTTGCATCCAGTTCTTTTGACAACTTCAATAGCTAAGCTTCCCCAACCACATCCAATCTCAAGAATTTCGTGTGTCTCATCGATTCTTGCCTAATTTTATCAAACCAAAACATAAACAAAAATCTTATTATTATATATCTCGAAGAAACAATGAACTTAATCATGAATGTTAGTAGAAGGATTACCTTTTCAATTAAAAGGGATATTTTCCTCAACTGTGCAACTTTTAGATCTTCATCCTCACTCTGCAAATTAACATCGACATAACAACAACCTCAAGTTGAAGCCATTAAATACTGAAACAACATACACTTATTTTTTATAATGATAAGTTATGATAGAAATTTACCTTAAACACTGCACACGAGTATGTCATTGTTTCATCCAAGAATAGAGCAAAAAGCTCATTACTCTGAACAAAAATCAAGAGAAGAATCGTAAATTCCTTCGTTTCGGTCGTAAAAATTCCTTGAATATCAATCTAAAAGAGCAGTGATAGGAGGTTTAAAACTTGTAATTACCAGGTCATAGTGACGGGATATATTCCTGCGAGCTTGTGTCAAAGTATTTTGCCTTGAAACATGCTTGAAAAAATATTTTGCAGATGCTATACCAGCTGTAAACAATAATGGTGTCCACCAACCCCTGCATCCAACCATAGGTATATGCAAAAGATAAAGTAAATTTTTGTATAAAACTGCATGATGCATATTGTAGTTATAATTGATAATATACCTTTTCTTACTTAGTTCTGAAATGGAAGATTTCAAATCTCTATTAGCAATAAGAATCTGTAGAGTCAGTTCAATGAGAAGTTTTTCTGGAGGTAAATACCAACATAAGCACAAGTCTCAAATTAATTGTCTTACCATGATAAGATTTATAAGTCCTTCATCTTTATCAACAAAAGAGAAATCTCCATTGATAAATGCATCTGCTAGACCCAGGTCAGCTTGTGTCATCGCCTGACAGAAAAATTTTCTTTGTCAGAAGAGGGATCATATCGTGTATCATGGACAATTATGTCTCTTGGTATTAAGGATCACATCTCAAAGTATTAATTCAAGTACCTTCCAGTAAAACTGAGGATTGTGCACTTTTAAAACCGATTTTAGAGGATTTTTTCTCAGTCTTCCTTCAAACGTAAAGATCGTTCCTCCTTCCTCCAACAAACTGATTTTATATCAATTCCATATCAAATCCAAGTTAGTTTTTTTTTTCCTCTGACAGGTTGTAATACAAACTTGTTATTGTGTTACTAAAGATACAAATAAAGTTGATTCGATAATATATAAAATATTTGAACCAAATGAAAATAAAAAATAATATCTAGACTCCACGCTTTTTGCAGTGAAGATTAGCAGTAATATTCTAGTTGAAAACAAGAATAGAACTGAAATTTCAATTAATGCACAACTTGTTGACAATAATTATATGCCTAAGATCTACTATGGCCTCGGATTGTTGATAAAGAATAGGTCTACTATCAGGTTTGAAGAATATATGCACCAATACCAGCAACACATGGCAAAAATGACACAAGGAGACATAGTCATTTCACAGAACTCACATTACACTACCAGTCGATATAAAATGCTCCAGGAATCTGGAAACAAACAGACGAGCCCCTGTTTCCATAAGAGTAGGTACCATGTGTTTCGGATTGTTCAGTATAGGACAATGTTTTCCCAGCAAACTATGTGCAGCAACCATGCCAGCCTGGGAAAAAGCATACTTCACTTACAAAAATGGTACAATTAACTCAACAAAAACAAAAAAGGAGACAGAAATCAGTGATTATAAATGTCTGATTTCTTTTAACTGCCTCAAAAATAACAATAGGAAGGAAGATTTAGAAACAAAGTTGAGGAGAAGTAACTTGCTACCTTTAGTCCGTCTTCATGGAAGCCATAACCTGAAAGAAAGAATGTATATTAGTCAGTTAATATCATAGCAGTATCACCACAGCTAACTAGAGAAAGAATGTGAAACAGTAGAGTTTAATGTGAAGGCAATCCATATTTCGATTGCAAAAACAAAAGCATAAGCATAATATCCGATAAAATAAGAGTAACATGTGAACAATTTGATCAACAATAATAGTAATAATTTTTTGATTATTCTCACCTTGGTATGCTCCACAGAACCAAATTCCTCTCTTCCCTTGAATTTGATCAAGCTCAAGCGAAGCCTTAGATGCAGCAACAGAGGGGACTGGATGACCAGTTGTCCACTTAAGCAAGGTATTTCTAGGTGTATGTTCAGGATTGAGAGTCACTAAAAAGGGTTCACTTCCTTCACCCAGATTCTGCATATTCAGAAATTTCATCAAAAATGGTAAGTGGTTACCTTTTATACACCCGATCATACATTTATAAAGAAAATATCAGTTTCAGGATGCTATGTTGTAAAATCTAGATATCTAGATAGGCAGCATTCATGATATCAACTAATTTTATGGTAAAAATATCTGCTGCAGTGCTCTATGTTTCATATTGCAATTTTGTATGTCCAAATCAGATTTCAGAAAGTCATGACTTCTATCATTTTTCCAGATTATATTAGATGTCCTAGTGGAAACTCTTGTGCTACTTCGAAGATTCCTATAATTGTATGTAATAGTTTAGAGATTGAGGGTGAGTTCCTAATCCCTGAAATTTAAAAGTATCTACATCATACTAGTCCAAAATAGAAACAAACCTGAAGTATATTGAGCCAGTATGTTAAACACACTTTATTATCTTTACTACCCAGGAAATTCCAGGCACTCCATGATGCTGGGTTTTTGGGCATTAAATTTTTGTCGCGATGAAGAAAAATATCACTGCCAAGATAGAGTTTACAAATTATCATTTAGTCTATTTTTTTCTTTAGCGATAAAAATATTCTCGAACCAGCTACCTATATACATATTGAAAAGCACCAAGAACTCTCAATTCATCAAAAGTTGCTTGGTTTCCTAATAAATGCAGAGCATCAGGAGCATGAAGAGCCATTATGCAAGAATGATATATTTCTTGTAAGCCATCTCCACATTCTACAACACAACCTGCAGATATCATTTTTCTTTGTCACCACTAATATGCTGACAGTATTTCAAACTATTTATAAAAAGAAGTATCATGTCTGGTAAAAATAATTTACTGAATTTGAGTTCTCACCTTCATTTGAAGCGAAAACTGATTTTACCTGGCAACCAGTTCTTATTTGACAACCTTTCCTTTCCAGCACTTGAATAACCTGATACAATTTCAATAAAAGAAAACTAGTTTTACCTGTGAAAGAAAAAAAAGTAAAGCAAGAAGATGTTCCTTCTCTTTTGCAGTAAGCAATTGAGAGAACATTTTTTAAAGTACTGTTTGATAAAGTAAGCAAAGCACCTTATTTACATAACAATGCGAACGCCCTCTGACAGTCAGCCACTGTGGGCGTCCAAAGAGCTAGAGGAAGAAGAATGGGAACAGGATTAGCAAATGTAAGCACCCCCAACATCATCACTGCTCAAGCACTGGTAATATACACTAAGATTATCATGCAAGGATGTATATTTCTGCACACATATTTATACATGTGTGTGTATGTGTCTGTTTGTATTCTGAATATTGGGAGAAATTAAGACCTGAAGTAGATGATGATTGCGGCAAAATGAGAGTACAGAATAAGCAGAAAAGCTCATAACACCTTCTGAAGGGCATGACCATGTTGAGCCACAAATAGGGATCTGTTTGGTGGTACAAAATGTTAAAAAGAATTCGAATGATTAGTGGTAGTGAAAAAACATATATTGATTCAGTTATCTCACCAGGTAAGCCTTTTGAAATAGTTGAGAGTAACCACGAGATTTTATAAATTGTCCCAAGGTTTCATTTCTGTCAATATCTAGATTATTTTCTAGTTGTTCGAGATAACTGCAAAGAAAAATGAAAGTAAGATGAGTGTGAAGTGGACAACTAAATTCTTTCAATACAATATAATATATAAAAAATCTATGATATCCAAGAGTACAAATTGACTCTACAATATAGACAAGAGCAGAGATGATCGTTGGGATAAAGCTTTTTAGTTAATTCATTTGTGTATCTTTATCAAGATCAATAGAGAGGAATTTATCACCTGAGAACATCATCTTTAAACTTAATAATTTCTCTAAGCATTTGCCAGAAATATGGATTCAGAACATTCTTCTTCTGTGCAAATAAACTTGACAAGCCATTTCGGCTACCCCATTCACACCCCTTTCCTTTGTCTAGGCTCACAGAGAAAGACATGTCAGATAATTCCATATCAACTCCAAGATTCTCAAAGAACTCCATCATATTTGGATATGTCACCTGTTTCAAATATTATACCAGATGAGTAGGGATCAAATTTCTTAGTGAATATATAAATGACATAACACCAAACTAATAGAAATGGTTTAAGAATGGTAATAGAAAATAAAAAACATAATCCTCTGAAAGTTTTATGAGCATGTCTTTATACGGGTATCTTTCCTGGTTTGCTGCATGTGCCTTCATAAGTGTATTTTTACCAACTGTATACATTTTATGGTGTGATAATATTAATATTGGTCTTTTCTATTTAACAGCAAGCTTAATTGTTCTTGGTTGCACAAAGTAAGTAGAGATTGAATTTCACTTTGTTTGGGAATAAGTTGTAAATAACCAAAGAAAGCGTTTGATATTTCTTCAAGAAGCATATTTAAAAGCGCTAAGATATATATATATATATATATATACATGTACGAATTTCTTCAAGAAGTAGATGCAATACGAATTTCTTTCATATGCAGAACTTCTAGTTGTTGTTCTGGTGAGAGTTGGCTCGCTTCTTACTGTTTGGATGCACTAGTAGGCTAAAATTTGAACAGAAGTCTATTATTATGTCCAATATAAACTCTGTCTTTTTGTCTTTAATTATCATTACACTAAAATATGAACATATACCTAAACTTGTACCAGACAAATTACCACAACAACCTACAGAAAATTTTCAGAATGTCGTAATTTTCACAACTTCGATACTAAGATTTTCTAAAATACTTTTCAAAAATATAAATCCACGAGATCAAAGTAGTTGTAGTACAACTTAAAAAAGTAAAAGTCAAGTTTGTCAGGTAAATGGGTCAGTAGATTCAGGAACAAGTCATAGTACGTAAAGATTGCATTAAACAAAAATAAAATACAAGTGTTGTAAGATTGCATTAAAATGAATTGTTATGATAAATAACTTTTGAAATTGTAAAATAAATTATTTATTTGAAAAAAGGTTTATAATGAATTAAATAATATTATGTATGGAAAGTAGAAGAAAAAGTTGAATTTGCATTTAAAGATGACGGCAGACTGTCTTGTACATCATGTGTGTGGCAACCAGAGATACACACCGACAAGAGACAAATTGGTAATGGTCATTGGCCTGACACCCACATCTTTTTTAAAATTAAAAATCAATTTTATAATACTTAAATATTTTATTATATACTCACCAAACCTAAATAATTTGTACAACTTGTATTCCCAATGCCAATTTATACCTTACTTATTTTTAAAATTTAATTCCTTTATTAATAAATTGGGAGAGCAAAATCTGGACACAGTTTTATATATATATGCCAATCCGTGAATGGTCTAAACTAACTAATTAAATGTTATAACCTTATCAATTAAGTACTCGGGTTAATTAATACAGAACTAAGAGATTAATATTAATTGATTCAATTAATCCTGTGGTGTTTCGTAGCCCAACGAATCAGTATTAACATTGTATTCTTAATTAATTTATAAACAAACATTTTAAAAATTCATACTAGATAATATAAATAATACATACCTTTATATATATATATATAAAAGGTGACGCTAGCTAAGGGAATAACATATATATACATATGGGTAAATATTTATTAGATGTGAGAGAGAAACAAATAATTAATTAGATTGTTTTCTGTCAGTCCAAAGGGTTTAATAATTTCATACAAATTTTGGTAGATCTCTGTAAACTTATAATTTTAATCTAAACACGTGAAATTAAAATAACTAATAGTTTCAAAAATATTTATTATTCGCGTAAAAAGATGCTATGCAATTACTAAAATATATAAAAATAAAAATAAATTTTAGAAAGTAAACAGTAACGAAGAGTGGTGATAAGTCAAAAACTTACGCGATTGAAGACCATAAAACCAAGGTCTAAATCAACGCCGTGGAAACGAACAGTCTTGGCATGGCCGCCTACGTTATCTTCTTTCTCGTACAACACAACCTCAACTCCCTGTCCTGCGAGAACATAAGCTGATACCAGCCCGCTTATCCCGCCGCCAATCACCGCCACCTTCATCTTCTTCTTTACGTTTCTACATTTTCAAACCCAACCGGTAAATGAATATGTACATACGTATAGCTACACTTACCTGCATTTACAGGTTCAGATATTTATCTTCTTCTGAAATATATTTATAAACATTTTCGTGCATCGTCATCTCCTGGTTCTAAATAAAGATGTGGCATATCATGAATCAAAACAAGAAACGAGAGAGAAAAGAAGTAGAAGTAGAAGAATTAGGAAAATAATTACCGTTAATCTAGGGAATTAGTGGAGGTGGACGCAGAGAAGTGAGGAAGAATGCAGAGGAAGAGCAGAGGACGGATTGAGAATAAGAAGATAAAACCAAGTCTCATTCAGTCAGGACCCACGAGCTCCCTCCCCACTGGCTGGCCTATTTATATAAGTACTATCACTGTATATATACAGGTAATATGGAAACTCTTCCATGCCCACTATATATATATATATATATATATATATGAAATATATAATTTAATTTAGATTCACCACTCACACATATTCCAAACTTATTATTACAGACTTTTACTATCTCAATTAAGCCTCCTTTTCCAATTTCTTTATTTTCTTCCAAAGATTAATAAAATATTATAATTTTATTTTGATTTTAAATATATTTAAATTTATTATTATTATTATTATTATTTTGTAATATAAATTCATTTCCAAAACTCAACCTTTTCTAGATTTGACCCAAACCCAATCTCGGCCAAGCCCAATTTATCATTTTTATATATTCTACCTTTTTTTTTTTCTTATTTTTATTTTCTTACTCGTGAGAATTCATATTAATATTTAATTTTCAAAATTATATTAAATTTTTTTTAATTTTGTCTATTATATAAAGTGAAAATGAGAGAAATAATTTAATAAATTGGAAATAGCATAATTTTCTTTTTTTTTTAAGTTTTTAATCTTTTATCTATATATATATTATTAATTAAGTGATAAAGACATATGCTAATAAATAGAGTTGAATTTTTTATAATTAAAAATAAAATTCTGATTTTAAAATAAATTTATTATTTTTTATTAGTTATATATATATATATATATATTTTATTGTTGAGACTGTATACCGGCTTCTTCATGCATTCTACATTTGTTATGTCAACTCGTTTTTAACTATTTTCTTCCGAAAACTATTATGTATTTAGGAAAAATGATATATATGTATATATTTTTTAGAAATATCATAAAATAAACAGAAATCCTGTTTTTTTTTACGTGTTCTGTCGTTAAGTTTTCCATCTACGCTAATAATTTATCACTTAATATGTAATTTTTATTAACCAAATTAATAATACCCTTTAAACATTTTTAGAACTCCAAAACACACAAACAAGAAATAGCCTACACACAGAAAGAATTAACACTCAACCATCATATATATTATTACTTATATATATATATATATGTATGTTAAGGAAATAAACTGATAATAAATAATCACATGACTAATTAATTTTTCTAATTTTTTACTTATATTATTAATCTGTATATACGTAAACTATGGAGGACCAATGCACGAAGAGACTAAGATCACAAACTGTTTTATAACCCAATTACATCTAATACATGTACGCATATAATATATATACATTCACACACACGTATATACACACCCAATATCCTCTCTCGCCATCAGTTTCCTTCTTTTTGCTGGTTCTGTTCGTGTTTGGAAGTTATATCCACTTATAGCAGCTCTGTCCGTGTGTATGTGTGTGTGTGTGTATACATATATAAGATTATGTATATATAATGTGATCCAAAAGAAAATGCAACAAGAAACAAATGAGGATGCCGAGTAGAAAGAAAGAAAGAAACTAGTTTGATAGCAGAGAAAAACCAAACCCACAATAGGATTTCCTTATTACTCGCATTCTCTTCTCTGTCTCCCGATTACCACCACCCCATCTTCTTCGTTTTCTTCGCATCGACGTTCTATCTTTCTCCCTCTCTACCACATTAGCGTTGTCAAAATCTAAACAAACCCACCTCATCTTTCTCTTTCCCTCTCTCTCTCCTCCCTCCACCTCTCTCATAAACAATGTTTCCCTTCTTCCCCATCCCTCTTCCCCCCAATATCTAATCCCCTTCTCGCCAGATTCCCATTCCCCATTTCCTTCCGTTTCCCCCCCCCGCAATGGCCCACCAGGCCCGCGGGGATCAATCCTTCACCTCCGCCCAAGTCTCCAGCTTATGCTCCCTCATTCCCACCTCCGACTCCGACCTCTCCTGGCCTTTCGGCAGGCTCGATGGCCTCGACCGCCATGACCTCCGGGAGACCGCTTACGAGATTTTCTTCACCGCTTGTCGCTCATCGCCAGGGTTTGGTGGTCGGACCCCTCTCACGTTCTACTCTTCTCATGATCACACCGATGGCGGGAATAGTAGCTCGGTTAACGGGACACCTTCCGGACAGGGCAAGACCTATGGGGTGGTCATGAGTCCGACGAGTCGGGTCAAGCGAGCCCTGGGGCTGAAGATGCTCAAGAGGTCTCCTTCCAGGAGGATGTCGGCCATTGGCGGAAATGGGGGTGGTGGGTCGGCGCCATCTTCGCCGAGTGCTCACACGCACGGGTCAAGCCCGTCAAATGTTAATTTCTCGACGTTGCCGGCGTCGAGGGCACGGCGGCCGTTGACCTCAGCAGAGATCATGAGGCAGCAAATGAGGGTGACAGAGCAGAGCGACAATCGGCTTAGAAAAACGCTCATGAGAACTCTTGTTGGCCAAGTGCGTGACTTTTGCATTAATTAATTAACAAGTAAATTTTATTCATTGTTTTCATTAAATTTCTTTGATAAATATGTGGATGGCAGATGGGTAGACGAGCAGAGACAATAATTCTGCCGTTGGAGCTTCTTCGACACTTAAAACCGTCTGAATTCAACGATTCCCACGAGTACCATTTTTGGCAAAAACGCCAGCTTAAAATTTTAGAAGCCGGTCTTCTCCTTCACCCCTCAATTCCTCTTGACAAATCCAACAATTTTGCAATGCGTCTACGTGACATCATTCGAGCTAGCGAAAACAAACCCATTGACACTGGTAAAAACTCTGACACCATGCGCACCCTCTGCAACAGCGTGGTTTCCTTGTCATGGAGAAGCACCAATGGCAACCCTACGGATGTTTGCCATTGGGCTGATGGGTACCCTTTGAACATCCACCTCTATGTTGCTCTCCTCCAATCCATATTCGATATCAGGGACGAGATGCTTGTTCTTGATGAGGTTGATGAGCTTCTAGAGCTGATGAAGAAGACATGGTCTACACTTGGGATCACTAGGCCCATTCACAATGTGTGCTTCACCTGGGTCTTATTCCAGCAATATGTTGCTACCTCTCAAATGGAACCTGATCTTCTCAGTGCCTCTCATGCTATGTTGGCTGAAGTCGCTAATGATGCTAAAAAGCCTGACAGAGAAGCTCTGTATGTGAAGCTTTTGACCAGCATGTTGGCTTCCATGCAAGGGTGGGCAGAGAAGAGGCTGCTTAACTATCATGATTTTTTTCAAAGAGGAAATGTTGGCTTAATCGAGAGCCTCTTACCTCTGGCATTATCGTCATCCAAGATTTTGGGAGAGGATGTGACAATCACTGAAGGGAAAGGACAAGAGAAAGGAGATGTATTGTTGGTTGATTCTTCAGGGGACCGCTTGGATCACTACGTCAGAAGTTCATTGAAAAATGCATTTGCCAAGGTGATCCACTATTGGATTTTACATATATTTTAATGTTGCCCCTTGTTATATGTAAACACCAATTGATCATTATCAGTTTGATTATTTCAACAGGTAATAGAAAATGTAAGGGCTAACTTCACAGCAACTGAAGGATCAGAAGAAGAAGCCCAGCTTCTACTTCAATTAGTAAAAGAAACAGAGGAACTCGCCTTGAGAGAGAGAGAATGTTTTAGTCCTATACTCAAGAAGTGGCACTCTGTTGCTTCAGGGATTGCGGCTGTGATGCTACACCAATGCTACGGCTCGGTGTTGATGCAATTTCTAGCAGGGAGAACTGTTATCTCTGCAGAAACTGTCGAGGTCTTGCAGAGAGCTGGGAAGCTTGAAAAGGTTTTGGTCCAAATGGTGGTTGAAGACTCCACTGAGTGTGAAGATGGAGGCAAAGGGCTTGTACGAGAGATGGTTCCGTACGAGGTTGATTCGATTATAATGAGGTTGTTGAGACAGTGGATTGAGGAGAAACTAAAGGCAGGGCAAGAATGTCTTCACAGAGCAAAACAAGCTGAAGTATGTGGGGGCAGATTACAGTTATTTTATTTACAAAAATCAAAATTTTCTGGTTGTTTCTTAGATTTCTTTAGCTAATTTCCTCAACTTGTGGTGCAGACATGGAATCCAAAGTCCAAGTCAGATCCCTACGCACAATCAGCTGGGGAGATGATGAAATTGGCCAAGGACGCCATAGATGACTTCTTTGAAATCCCAATAGGAATTACAGAAGACTTAGTTCATGATCTTGCAGAGGGTCTAGAGCGTCTCTTCCAAGAGTACACCACCTTCGTTGCATCATGTGGTAATTAAAAAAACAATCCTTTGTTCATCAAAATCAAATTTTGAGTTGGTGGATTGTATATTTTTGCTAATGATAACATTATGACAGGATCAAAACAGAGTTACATCCCTGCACTCCCTCCTCTAACAAGATGTAACCGGGACTCCAGGTTCCTCAAGCTCTGGAAACTAGCAACTCCATGCAGTGCTGCATCAGAAGAACTACAACAACATGTGTTAAATGCTGGACACCATCCTCGTCCGTCGACAAGTCGTGGAACTCAGCGCCTTTATATCCGCCTTAACACCTTACACTATCTAGGCAGTCATCTGCATGCCTTGGATAAAGCCCTTTCCCTCTCACCAAGGATTCTTCCTTCAACTCGCAACCGTTTCAGGCACCGTAGTAACTCATCTTCCTATTTTGAATACACCTATGCAGCCCTTGATTCTGCCTGCCAACATGTATCAGAAGTAGCTGCATATCGCTTAATCTTCCTTGACTCAAATCCCGTCTTCTACGACAGCCTTTACCTTGGCGATGTAGCCAATGCCAGGATAAAACCAGCACTTCGAATCATGAAGCAGAACCTCACTCTCATGGGTGCAATTCTTGCGGATCGAGCCCAAGCTTTGGCGATGAGGGAAGTTATGAAAGCCTCATTTGAAGCATTCCTGATGGTTTTACTCGCAGGAGGACACTCTCGGGTGTTTCATCGAGCTGATCACGAGATGATTGAGGAAGATTTTGAGCACCTAAAGCGATTATTTTGCGCTTGTGGGGAAGGATTGATACCAGAAGAAGTTGTAGACCGGGAAGCAGAGACAGTGGAAGGGGTGATAGGATTGATGGGGCAACCAACTGAGCAACTCATGGAAGATTTCAGCATTGTTACGTGTGAAACAAGCGGGATAGGAGTTATGGGAACAGGACAGAAGTTGCCGATGCCACCAACAACTGGAAGATGGAACAGGTCAGATCCCAACACAATATTAAGGGTTTTGTGTTACAGGAATGATCGAGCAGCAAACCACTTCTTGAAGAAATCATTCCAATTGGCAAAGAGAAGATGATGATGATGAAGATGTTGGGTTCTGTTCCATGTATATATATTGAAGATATTTCATCTTCCATGATGTAAATTTGCTACAAAAAACTAACAAAAAAGGAAATTTGGGAAAAGAGCACTGCAAATGTATGTATTCATTCAATAGGGTTAAAACCTTAAATGCCAAATCAAGACATTGTTAGAGGGAAAGAGAGAAAAAAAAACACACACACACACACAGAGAGAAAGAGAGAGAGAGAGAGCATATTGTAATACTTTTTTGTCGTAAAATTCTTTCACTATTTAGTATTAGGTGTTGTTAGTGAGTTGTATGTTATAAACATATGTTTCTCTACAATTACTCTGGTTTGGAAATATGTTTTTTATATTGTTTGTCAATATTCAAAAAAGAAAAAAAAACGTGTGATATGTATACTACATCTTAAATTTTTAATTTAACAATATTAAATAATTATATTAGTAAGACAAATTGTAGCTCTTCTTTTTATGAAGTTAAAAGCTTGAGTTTAAGTATAATTCATATCTTATCTAGAAAAACAATCTCAACAACATCTGATAAAAGTTCTTTTTTTAAGCGGGCTCATGAAGAGAATGCCTTCTTCTTTCCTACTGATAATAGAGCAGATGAAGGTTTTCTCTGTTGTCAACAATGGAGGCTCCGCTGGTTAAGATGGATGCTTCACACAGACTGTAGGGGTCTCTTTCTCATGTGGGTTCGTGGGTTCCTGAGTTTAGGCTGTGGAGTTTGATT